AATTATATCAATTTGGGACACAAAATATATTGCTCTACAAATCTCGAACTTGTATGGAACAAATTTTCTCTGTTATATATTTTGTGTTTTGTTTTTGTTTTTTTTTTCTAAAAGAAGCCTTAATGTCTCTCCGGTTGCATGTCCGTCGCATTCAGTGCTGCAGCATTTTGATTTAATTTTCTATTCGCGTTAAGTAAAGAGATTGTAAGTTAAAAAGTACATTTTATGAATTATATAATTGATTATTTTTCAAATAAAATAAATAAATGGTTTAAGAATTATGAATATAATATATTGAACGATTAATAATAATTTTCTGACTTTTTCCAGTTAATTTCAGATAATTTTCATAATCGTCGGTCAACATAACAATTTAATTTTTAAAATTTATATAATAATAAAAAATAGTAATAAACGTAATAACTCAGTTATAAAATAGCACATAAAACACAAAAAAAGGAAAACATTTTTATAAAAATGAAGGAAAAGACATATTAAAACAGATATTAGAATTACTGTATATCAAAACAATTATGCTTAACATGGTAATTTAATCAGTGTCATATTTTAATTAAGTGTGAACAGGTATCTTAAGATATTTAATAATGAGGACTTCCCTAAAAGCGATTACTGAACAGAACAGAACAGAGTTTATTTCATAACTTGTACACACATGGGTACATCGTTATAACAAGCATTTTGAAATATAATTTTAGGTCACATATTTTACAATTACACATAAAGAAAAAACAAATCAATACAATACTGAGCAACATAATAAGGGACAATAAACAAGTGTGATGTTGGTTACATAATAAGGGACAATAAATTAGTGTGGTGTTGATCATGTGTTACACAAATGGATTATAAATTATTGTATATGTCCGTTGCCATTGATAATCACGATATTACATTGATGAACATAAAAAAGTATAAATTAAATCTGTTATAATTTAAAAGAGAAGACTGTTGCTTAATTCTTTTGGCAAAATCGGCATGAAATATCGTCAATCATTTATAATTTTAACAACAACACAGAACATAATTATATACATCAACATTATGCACAAAATGCAATTATAAATAATGACATACATACATTATATAATATACATTTAATATAACATTATACAACTCAACTGAGTTGAGTTGAGTTGAAAATAACATTATAAATGTATTTTATCATTTACAAAATGTAAACAAAAAACGCAATGTAACGTGATAATGACTATCATAATGTTTTAATAATATAACGAAATATTCAATTACAATACAATGCAAAAGACAAGAACCAAACAAACAAGAGCATCAAAGTCAATTAATTAATATCTTTGAAATTATTTTTATATATTTATCTATTAAGTTAACTATACTTATTTTGTTATTTCAAACTTTTTCATCTTATATTTATTTTTGCCCCCATTTATGTATTGATTTATTCATCTTTTTATTCACTTACTGATTTTTTACATTTAGAAAGTTTTAATTTTAAATAATTTAGGGATGCCGGTGTATGCAGCTGTGTGTGTTTTTTAAATTTCTTTTGGGAATGGATAAAATTTACCATTTTCTAAACAATAAACCAAATGTTTGCGCATTTCCTCTACAGTAAAAGATACACTAGTATTGATTTGACCATTATTGTAACAAAATTCCACCGCATGTGCTATTGCAAACAATCCACAGTCGTAGCTGTTCGGTTGTTGTTGAACCCTAGGAACTTTTATTTGAAGTATAGAATTTTGACTGGTATATATTTGGCTTAACTGAAATTGAACATTATTTTTTAACATTTTTAATGAATCACTTAAAAGTGTCAATGTAATAAATGTAGTGTGTTTCTTTTAATTGATGCATGCTTACTGCCCAATGATTTTATCCGTCAAAATGAAATTTTAACTTATGGTGCTGATTGCTTGTAATTTTTTTTATCTGTATACCATTTTATATCTTTCTCTACAAAGAATGGTTTATTTTGTGAGTTGGAAGTTAGTTACCAATTAATTAAATGTAGACTCTTTTAATGCGTTTATTTAAGGTCGCCGCCGGAATGCCCATATGGGCGACCGTACACTCAAGTCGGGCCATCCTAGAGCGTCCCGCCGAGATTTTTTCGTCAATTTTTTTCCGGCTATAATTGGTGGAGGAAGACCCCAGGTGCCCCGCCGGGCATTATTTCAGACACGAGCGGGCACCTGGGTAGAAACACCGACCTTCCGTAAGCCAGCAGGATGGCTTCCTCACATGAAAGATTTCGACCCGAGTGAGGATCGAACCTACAGCGGTGAGGGACCTGTGATCTCAAGTGTACACATAACAAACCGCTGAATATAATTCACTGTTACCTCCGTCATTGATTCAATTCAATTAAAATGCGTTTACATCAATTCATTCTATTAAATTTGTTTCACTGTTTGATCTCAATCAAGATAATGATACGAAAATACTCAGTGGCGGATTCAGGCCCGGGCTTCAGCCCCCCCACCCCAGCTTGGCCCAAAGATACGTTTACAGGCTGGGCTGGAATATATTTTTGTCAGTTTCAAACTTTATTGGCTGTAGTGTACTCCCTTACCAAAACATTTATTGCTGCCATCCAGTTGTTAATCCCCTGCCTGGGGGCTTGGCAGAGATCTTTATTTATCAACATGCTTGAATGACTTCAATATTTAAACTGCATAATTGATTGGTTGATTACTTTCCCAAGGTCTAATGAAATTAATAGTCACAGATAGTGTCAAATAGATGTGTTACAAAGTACACCATATCTAACAATCTTTGTTTTTCCATTTTCTTTGGGAAAGTCCTATAATTAAGAAATTGAAATTATGATTTGTATATTACAAAGGTGGCGAGTTTTAAAAAGAAATCACGTTTTAATTACTAGTTTTACTAAGATTTTTATTTAGATGAAATGACTGGTCATTTGCTTTTAATGACTTTTTATGACAGTTATATTTCTTTAAATCAAATCTAAACTGTGCTGACCTTTTTAGTCATAATCTATAATGGATTCATTGATGGAATAAAATCTGATTGAAAATTAGTGTTTGAATTTTGTTTGTACAATAGAAAGGCAGTATGTTAATCACACTTTATTTAGGAAAATCGTCTACTATTTAGATGAGTAAATTGATTGAGTGCTTGAAATTAATTTTATCAACGGTCGCGCATACATTGGTAAGTGTGCTGTTATTTTGTAAATGCTTACTACTTAACAACAGGGGAATGAAAGACCCTGCAAACACTAAACTATACAAAATACAATGTGATGTTAATCCATCTAAAAGGTACCATGAACAGCACAAGAAAGTCATGGAAATACCACCATTTCAACCTCATATTTCAAAATTTTCTCCGTCTATGGAAGGGGACACCCCTCCCAGGCCTACCCAATCACATATTTTTTTCTTAATTCCAGTCTTAATATTCCTATCAATATTTACAAAAACAGTAGTATACACACATATAAAAAAAGTACATTGCCACTCTTAAGATGAGCTGTAAAACTTTTTTTCACATGAACAAGATGCTGGGCCTATCTTCAAACATGCACACGTTTCGCCTGTTGCATTGTATTTCTTTTGTTTATGTCAAAATCTTCCACACATATGTCAGCCCACAGGAAACCCTGTTCTGTACCCGCCCCTGATACTATTCAATTACCATTTAATTGTTAAATACTTTTATTTGAAATTTTTATCTTTTTAAATGTTGAATTCTGCTTACGCCGGTGCTAGGGGGCGTGGACGGTAACTTGCACTTTCCAGTACCGTCCATGAACAGGCTCAATCAAACCGAGCCTGCAACATTTTACAATTTTGCCGTGTTGGGCTTTCTTTAGGGATTCTGTTTTTCACTATTTCATTGTCATATCCGTGTTATTTGTGCCGTGTGGCGGCTGTAAAAAGTCTCCCCGTACATTTAATCAATGTTATATTTTCGATCCTTGAAGATCGTTCGTGTATACATATATGATGGTATTTATAGTTTCTTGTATTTGGCCTTTTTCAATTTGGGTGGTTCCAGTATTCCTACTTGAATACTGTATAATCACCCTTAGGATATGTTGCCTGCTTTTTTAAATTTGTCTTTTGACGTCTTATCTGTGATAACCTCAGATCCCTTTTCAAAATTCCATTTTATTTAGTTCCGCCCATTGTTTTCTCGTTTAGGGCAAAAGCATTCTTTTACTTGGGGGCCATACGCCGCTTTTCATGGAATGACACTACCGTGTCACATTGAAGGTTCCATGATAACCGCCGTATGAACACATCTGCGGATGTTTCTAAATTCAAAATTTCACCATTTTCGTGTTAAATGTTGAATTCTGCTTAAGCCGGTGCTAGGGGGCGTGGACGGTAACTTGCACTTTCCAGTACCGTCCATGAACAGGCTCAATCAAACCGAGCCTGCAACACTTTACAATTTTGCCGTGTTGGGCTTTCTTTAGGGATTCTGTTTTTCACTATTTTTAGATATTGCCATCATTTGCTATACTTTCTATTTACAGGTCGGATTACTTTTTTCTTTGATCTATAGTCGTTATAATATTAATGCTGCAGTTATTTATCAAATAATGAAAAAAATACAAACCGTTTCAAAATTAACCAATTAACAGACTCCCCCGTAATTAATACGCTTTTACATTTTAATCTTTGATGAAAATATATAATTAAAAACAACAAAATTCTGGAAACAAATTAAGTGATCCCTCGGAAGCATTAATCACAACAAAATAACATAAGAGTTGCAGACTCGGTTTGATTGAGTCTGTACATAACACATAATAAAATCAATTTATTTGAAACGAAATAATTGTACATTATATACGGAAAAAAAATCTTATATCAACACATTTTTCATCTAGAAAGATCTAATAATGTTTAGAGAACCGGCACTGACCGGGCCAGTAAATATGATACTATTCGCCGGTCTCTCGCAAATTCCGGTCAAAATAGACCGGAAAAGACCGGAGACCGGAGAATAGTACAATCCCGCATCATTCGGATGCCTCAGCTATTATCCATATTCAGATTTGTTTACAATTTTTTTGATACTGATTTTGTTATTTCAACTGAATTGCTGGTCTTACGATGGCGGAAGAAACTTACCCTCCTTTCAAAATAGCTAAAATAGAAATTTCAAAAACTATAAGCAGGCGACAGCATTTTCAACGAGTGCACAAGAAACTTTTGAATCATAAAGATGTCATTTTTGAAGCATTACAGCAATTAGAATCTGACTGGGCGGGCTTTTGTTTTGTTAAAATTCTGTTTTGTAATGCTGATGAATCATGCAATTTTACTGAAGCATACTGCAAAACGATGAGGAATGTTCAGGAAAAAAATCCCGCTGGTCGACGAATTGTATGGATACCAGATTTATTTGATGTGGCATTATTGAAGAGCTTTCTTGATAATGAAGATGTTGAGGAACAAATATTGGATAAACATTTGGTGGCTTTTGAAAAACTTGGACAATTTTTAGACACTGTTGAAGGTAAGGTTAATTTTATCGGTCGGTCTATTTACCCCAAGACTACCCCTAGATACGCCAAGACACTCAAAAAACACTTTTACTGACATGTTTAATACCGTCTTAATTTTACATTGCTTACAGGAGGTAACTAGAATCTATGCAATTTCAGGGTTCTCGGTGACGCTTATTTCGGCCTCCCTTTTAGCATGTTTATTACAGCTCGACACAAATATTTCAGAGCAAGGATTCCGCGTACGCTTAATTTTGCCTGGGGACCCATAAACATAACCGATTGTTTACAACCACAAATACACAAATACGTCCGCGTGTGTCAGTCTATAGGTAGGCGGTTCTTTGTGCATCAACCAGTGAAGCGATTAATTAGCCAATCAGCGATAACGTTTACTATCATTATCACGCAATAGAGGTCAGACTAATGTATACACGCGCTTTACATGTAATTACCAGATATAACACGAGGTGATAATTTTTTATCTTTGATCAACAGTTGATTGAAAATTAGCAAATTTTTCCGACAAAAGAATTAAGAGTTTATTTACACCGCAAGTCCATACATAATTGACCATATTTGATGTATTGATGACATGTAAATAATCAGTCTCTGTATATAATAAAACTTACCCAATATATAAGTTCCTTGTGATGTCTTGGGGTAGTCCTGGGACTGAAAATGTGTATCTTTCTGTCCCAGGGTATTCTTGGGGTATCTTGGGGTGTCTAAACTCTTGGGGTAAATAGACCGACCCTAATTTTATCGTTGACAAATTAGTTCTCAAACCTCATATAAACAGGTCTAGGATTTCATGAAATTTATGGACTGTCCGTAAATTTATGGAGAATCAGGGTCAGCTCGGCCCTCAAACGTACTCGGCACTCGAGTTAGCTTGGCCCTATTCCAACTCGGCACGGGTCAACTCGGCCCATAATTATATATTACTGGTAATGATTACTTTTTTATACGCCCGTTTGAAAAACGGGACGTATTATGGGAACGCCCCTGGCGGGCGGGCGGGCGGCGTCCAATTTTGTCCGGAGCATATCTCCTACATGTATGGAGGGATTTTAATGAAACTTCATATAAATGTTAACCACTATGAGGAGCAGTGTCGAGCACATGAACCAGGTCTCTAGGTCAAAGGTCAAGGTCACACTTAGAGCTCATTGAAAAATGCTTGTCCGGAGCAAAACTTCCACATGTATAGAGGGATTTCAATATTACTTGGCACAAATGTTCACCATTGTGAGGCGTAGGGTTGGACACCGGTTCCCGGTATCGGTCCTATACCGAATAGTAACTTCGTAAATTACCGGTATATACCGTTTCGTAAAATACCGGTACTGGATTTGATACTTTTGTAATTTTGTAAAAAAATAGTTTAATAGTCAATATGTCAAAAAAATAAGAAGATTTTTAAATAAAAACAGCCTACAAACACGTAAAACAAACTATGAACTACTATTGTCATGCGGCGAGTACGGCTTTCGTGGCAAACTTGAAGTTTGTGACGCGGCGATATTTTTGTAAAAGTCTTGTGCCGCTTATGTTCAAGATAATATTTTTTACTCGGCAGGAAAATATAATTATTTAAACTGATTTTGGTAAAAGTTTGTAAGTTTTAAATGTCAAAGAAACAACGAGAAAACAAATCAAATACTTGAGTAATCATCAGCACATCGCACACAGTCCTTCCAAACACATCGCACACAGTTTTTGCCGTAATGACAATTAAATCCAACATATGACAATTGTTTGTTCAAACAATGCTTTTAAAAATAATTAAATCTTGTTTTCAGTTTAAGTTTCTTAACACTCATAATGAATAAATATTTAATGATTCCAGGTTCTTTTCTTCCATTACCACATGTACAAATCTACACGTGAATTACGATTTGAACATAAATGAGGCCGAACTATTCCAACAAAATATGCCTCCTTTTGTTGTTTGTGTAACACTGAACTGTTATTAAACATGTATACATTTTTTTAACCAAAAAATGCTGACAGAACTTCAGTCAAAAAGTGTGAATGTCGGCGGCTCTTTGATGGTGATAGAGTAACAACATCAAAGGGAGGCATATTCTTTTGAATAGCCTATTATGCACCTGTCAAAGGTCAACTTGTGTGTATTACACATTTAGATCACTGAAACATATTTCATATAGTGTTTTGTAGGATTTTTTTTGCAAATGTTGGCTAGTATTTTTGCGTATTTGAGCAGAATGGAATTATGCAATTTGGTGAGGACAATACCCTTTTTTCTGTAGCAAGATTTTCACTGTGCATGCTATTGAAAAATAAAAGATGTATAAAATTGAAAAGTAAATTTAATATTAATAAATACCAAATTCTTATTATTTGTAAAGCATAGGTATTTGCTTTATGACTTCTACAAGGACTAATATTAGGTTATTATGAAAATGTAAACAAGTCATTTTGGAAACAGTCTGTGCATATACATGTTTTTCCAAATTTCTAAGTTAATTACTGGTGGAAAATATGTTTGTGCTGTTGTCGTAGAACAGACTGGAAACATAAGTGACTTTGTAAAAACATCTAATGAAATTTCTTTCATGTAATTCCAAATTGCAAAGTAAGCCAACCAATCCAGTGATTTCATTTATTACAGTCAACAATAATGTGATTTAAAAAAGAATATCAGCATCAGAATAAAATTTCTACACAGTAATAATAATAGCTGTAAGAAAATAATAGATAACCAACTATCTTAAATTCTTTCAGATGTAGAGATATCAAGATTAAAACATTAATGTGTAGACTTCTCAGCTGCAGACTGCTGTCCTGCATAAGATATTTTTCTGTGTATAAATTATGTCATGTTCTTTTGATGAAAAAGTAAAAGTATTTTACAATTAACATGTGTAAATGTTGTAAAAAAGAGTAAACACAAAACAACAAAACATGGAACTTGAGAAAAGTATACTTTACAGCATGAAATTTCAGAAAGACCAGTAATGTAACATATTTATTTTCTAGCACTACATGTTATATCTCTTCAGTTCTTATACTTGCAGCAAAGGGTTTGATGTGGTAATGTAAAAGTATCAGTATCAGTATCGATAAAATACCCGTATCGTTTCGTCAGTACCGGTATCGGTATCGGACCGTTTCGTGAAGAACGATATCCAACCCTAGTGAGGCGGAGTGTCGCGTGCAAGATTCAGGTCCTTGCGGCCAAGGTCAAGGTCACACATAGAGGTCAAAGTTCAGATAAAAATATGAAGATGTGTATATGGACCATTTAGTCATCATTTATTGAGGGATTGTAACACAAATGGTCATTATCAAGACAATAGCTGTGATACATATAATTTAGGTCAATATATACAAGGTCAAGGTCACTAAAGATGATGAAATATCCAGATTTTGTAAATAGAATTTAATCAAAGGGCGACAACAAAGTTATTACTTTGTTCATAAATGACTTACACAATTACTCCCCTTGACAGGGCTCATCCTGGGGGGAAATTTTAGGGAGAAGTGACTTCCTCGCGAAAATTAGGGAGATGGGAAACAACCCAATGTGTATGCATTAACATGCATGGCTATACATCCTTTAATTATAATTTAAACACAATTAGCATCACTTATAATATTTCTCCAGTTTATTAATTAATAGTAGATTAATTAATAGTAGTATTAATTAAAAGCAGATTAATTAATAGTAGATCTGGCAATGGCATCTAAATGTTTTTGAGCTGCAAATATGAATATAAAAATTATTTTTTGGTATCTATTGATCAGCTATTTATAAGCTTTCTCTAAATATGTGTTTATATATATTCATGTACATTTGTTGATAATAATGTGTAAGAAAAAATATGATAAAACCAATTTTACATATTTTTCTTTCCTCACTTTTAATAGAAGATGAAGTCACTTTGGATATTGATTAATAATATCTCTTCTGTTCTGGTAACAGAAATATCTTTCAAAGTCCTGAATTTTTTTTTTTTTGATGCGTTTATTTAAGGTCGCCGCCGGAAAGCCCATATGGGCGACCGTACACTCAAGTCGGGTCATCCTAGAGCGTCCCGCCGAGATTTTTCGTCGATTTTTTCCAGCTTTATTGGTGGAGGAAGACCCCAGGTGCCCCTCCGGGCATTATTTCAGGCACGAGCGGGCACCTGGGTAGAACCACCGACCTTCCGTAAGCCAGCTGGATGGCTTCCTCACATGAAAGATTTCGACCCGAGTGAGGATCGAACCTACAGTGGTGAGGGACCTGTGATCTCAAGTCAACGACTTTAACCACTCGGCCACGGAGGCCCCTAAAAAGTCCTGAAGTTTGTAATGTCACATTTTATATGCAAATAATTATGCTTATAAAACAATTTTCAAACATCAAAGAATATGTAAAATATGTACTGCAAACATTTGTGCACATCATATTTGATCACTAAAATTACATACATTCATTTCTTATTGAAAAATTTGACTGAGAAATTGTAGAAAATTAATGTCTAATTACCTCCCTTTATTTTCATGAAATGTTAAATTCGGTAATATCTTTATAAATAATGCTTTTTTAAAATTTACTATTGATAAATCTTAATCTGAGCGTCAATTTTACGACATTAAAACAAATATATATTATTGAAACAATAAGAACACTTCTTTCCTGACAAAGTTTGTTGTTACATACTTACATGATATAGACCAATATGTAGTTTAGCCACGTGTGTAAACTGTGTCAAATTAGGCATTTCTACAAAGAGAACAATGCCAAACACCCACTGTCTACAACATACCAATCGCAAGATTTTTGCGAATTGGCTTTCTTAAATTTTCACGTAGGTGTAACTATCAGAATCAGTAACTTTCTTACTGCTCGGTTTCGTCATTTTCGCCTTGAAGCCATGACGTGAGCGACATTGTTAATTAACAATTTTACAGTAAAAATTGATGTTAACAGACTGAAATCATGAAATCATTCAAAACTATGATTAAGTTTTTAATCCGGTCGCTGATCATTAATGAA